CAAGCTTCACACCACTTGGCTTGGCTGGACTTGGCTTCGATGGATGATGTCGTCTGGTCTTCCTTTCGCAACACTCAGTTTCACGTTGTCATTCTCACGAACACTCTCACGTCCTCTCGCTCTGACGGTCAACACATACTGTCAAGGACCTGATAACTATATTATTGAACTAGGGCTCGCTGTACGGCCCTGTGACAGACAAACTATACCAAAACACACTCAACACATACACAAATGAAGCACACACATCATCTTTAATGGCCAAAGAACAATATAACCTAAAAACAACCTCCACAGTTATGGACAGTCCCCTCATCCGAAATCCCCGGGCAGTGGCAGCAGTTATATTTACCTATCCACCCCGGGCCATTCCCATGGATATACCAAAGGACACGATTCCACCTCCTGTAGTGCAGCGCCAACTAGGCTACGATCTTCGCCATGCGAGACTCAGTGGCACACGCAGGGTGAGTGGTTCAAGTATTAGCGGACAATGTCAACGCAACGAGTGACAGCACAAGACGCAGATAACCCCCAAAAATCCAGGGACAAGAACACCTACCTAAACATGGTACGACCCCAACACAACTGTCTTAACATACTATCAGCACACGAGGAATAACAACAGCTAACCAACACATACGACGACAGCGTTAACACTACACAACCTATCTGTCAATTCCTAACAAAAAAATACAATCGCGTCTCTCAAAATGTCCTCATCCTCGCACACTTTTTCTCTCCTCTCTCCGTTCAGCTCCGGTTCAAACGTGTACGTTGCACCAGTGTTCACGAATCCCGGGTTTTCCCCGTATCATCAAATCAACTGGCTGAGCGCTGGTGCACATATTTGGTCTGTCAAACACCAACATGTAGTTACACGACGTATTGTCTATGCTATGTCCCACAGGGCTATGACACATACTAACTTGACCAGACTGGGGTCTGAACTATACCCAGTGTTCGTTTCCCCGTGGCAACACGTGGTTGTCCTTAGGTTCCATGTGGCGACCTGTGGTCATTCTCCTTTGGCTCCACGTGATAACTCGTGGTCGTCCCCTATCTTGAAAACCTCGGTTAATCCGAGTATCTGGCTTCTTTCGGTATTATTGTTAGCTTGGGGCTTTCCCCTCAAGCTTCCCAATCAGGGTGAAAATATTCCCCATTACAACCTCTCTGAGGAACACCCGTATAGTCTGCTCAAATATAACACCTCTCTGAGGAACACCCTCCTATAGTCTGACTAACGTGCTTCTGTATCCTTTTATTATGACGCTTGCGTAGTGCCTGCAAAGGACATCTCTAATCCAGGACAAGATCGTGTCGTTTGCCTCCCGCTCTGAGGGTCATGGGGTCGTTTCACGGCTGCACCATTAAATTCATGCATGCAATTTTTACGAAGGTCCTTGTGGATCGTCGCGGAAGCTTCATAGTTCGTGCTCTGTTCGATGCTTCGACAAGCAGCTAACCATTCTACGGAGAGAGACTGAGCAATATGAAATATAACCTAGTGCAGTGAAGCTGACCTTCTCAACTTTAATCTTTTTTTTTTTTATTTCTCTACCCAGGTCAGACGTCAGATGAGTTGCCTCTATGAACTCGCATGTCATTTGCATGTTATCTGTGGTCCCCATACCTTGCTCTGCACACTTTACTTATGAGTATGCATTGCTCACACACACACACACACACACACACACACAAGTCACGTTCAATCAGCATTCCTGAAGGGAGAGCTTTAGGTTATAATTGTGACCTGAGTTTGTGCGCTATAGAAAATGGCGTAACATTGCATGCCACCAAGAGAACTCAAAAAGACTTCTGCAGCGTTGACACCATCAAAGCCGACATACCCGAATACTGTTTCGACAAGCAACGAAGTCGTCTACTAGTGAGCCAATGGGCGACCCGGTAGCTGTGCCTTTTATCACGATGTGTATTAGTTTTAGAAACTAGCTAGTTTTATCAATGGGCTAGTTTTTACAATAGTGATTTCTTCCATGCCAATTATAGTTCAAGAAGTCAAGTCTGCAAGGTTGTCACGAAGTATTTCAGCCCCTCTCCCCACAGACCTGCACAAAGAATATAATAAATATGATGTACATTGTCTTTCTGTTGCTGGTTACTATTTATGGATTAAACAAATACAATAAACAAAGTCGCAATTTCATTTGATTATCTAATCAAGCCATATTGTTTAAAGCTGGCCTGATCGTGGTGACTCCCATTAGAAAGAATTACATACCAAGCCGGCGCGCAGTTCGGGGGGGGGGGGGGGTTGGGGGTGGGGGGGGGAAGGAGGCCCAAAATTAACCCCCCTCCCTCCCCAAACGCCATCAAACTAATGCCTACTTTATGGGGGAAAAAAACTGTCCACGAGGTATAATCCTAGTTTAAAGATACTCTTGATACGTAGTTACAAACGGGTTAGAAAAAATTTCTTGTGGTTAAAAAGGATGGGGGGGGGGGGGGGGGGGGGGTAAAGGGGGTCTAAAGTGGCCTGAACTCCCAGGTTCTAGCACCCCTCATACCAAAAACGAACACCGGCGTCATGTGGCAAGACATTTGATGATGAGGATGATGATGATGACGATTATGATGCTGCAGTTAGAAGGTGTCTACCAGTCTGGCACTACACAGGAGCCCTCTGCAGCGTCTTCAGGCGTATTGGACATTTAGTACCAGTAGACCAACCTGCAGTCGGTGGGTGATGTGGTCAGCATATGCCTGCCCCCTTTACTTCCCAGAACGTTACCTGGTACCCATTTAAATTTTTTTCTATGTTTGCGTGTGTGTGTTTGTGTGTGTGTGTGTTTTGTATGTTGCTAGTATTTTTGTAAGTATGTTTTTACATTCGTTGCCGTTTGTGAGTGTTATTGTGGTGGTGTTTGTGAGTGCTTTCAAATTTTATTCAAAGTACAAAAAGAAATTGGAAGATAACAAAACAAAGGAAGAAAGGTAACAGTTCTGGGGAGGGGGAAATCAAGAGAAGAGGGACTCCATTTAATTTAAAGGACCAGCTTCTCCTGGGTCCTTTTGATGGGAAATTTCTCCACGAGTGTGGCGCGTCCGGGTACGAGGTGTAACTCCGCGTCGCTTGCTGTTGCTAGGGACCACTGACATCCTCTGCACTTGAGATCCCACTTTGAATGTGATGTTGTCCCTGTTCTTGTGGTACAGCCGCTGCACTGGATCTCCCAGTAGCAAGGGTTGTTGTCCTCGTTTTTGCCAGTTCTGTCTTCTTTTGTCTTTTTTTTCGGGGTGCTTTCACTTCCTGGTTTCTCTTGTCCGATTTTAGATAATGTTGGTGATGTTTCGTTTGATTTGGCTGGCTGGTTCCTTTTCTTGTTCTTTTTCTTTTTGCTTGCGGTGGTCTTCTGATCTCCTGTAGCTTGCGTATCTTCTTCTTCTGCAGATGACCGTGCGTCTTCGGAAGAAGTCTCCTCCTTTTGCAGCTCATATTCTGCTTCTTGGGTCAAGCTGTTCTCTGAGGACTCTTTCACGAGTGGAGAAACCTCCTCTTGTAGGATTGTTTTTGCTGGTGCTGGCTCGGGGCGTCTTCTCCTTGTGGGGCACTTGTTTGCCCAGTGATCATTTTGCTCACAGGGTGGACAATTTGTCCTCCTGCCTGGCACAGTGATCCATAACTGGTGCTTGCCGCCGGGGAGCACGGGATTCCTTATGTTAACATAATGAGGAATCGGCTTTTTCTCCCTCACCAAGGAATACCATCTGTCCTTGCCGTGTCTTGCTTGGTAAACTTCGGGATCGTCGTCGCCTGTTATCCCTACATAGATCTTCTTTGCAGTCTGCTCTTTGGCTGTGATTGGCATCCAGTGGATGCAGACTTTCGTTTTCATTTTTTCCAGGTGCTCTAGATGAACATCTACACCTTCTTAGGAACATTGTGGAGCAGATCGTATTTTGTCTTGTGTGCCTCTCATGCGAGGGTGAGGTACCACTCTGTGGGATTTGCGTAGCGGCACAGCTCCTCCATTCCGTGGATAGGCACCCCGAGTGGGCCTATCAAGACGCTGGTCAGCCAGGCAGGCGTTGCCCTGGAGGCTGCATCGGCACAGGACAATAACACAACAATTGTACAACCTGTCCGGTGAATCCTTCCTCCAGGGAACGCGTCCGTCGGCAGGTCCAGGTCCACGGTGGTGACGGCTGCTGCAGGCTGCATCTCGAGTGGCTGAGGCTGTGGTTAGTTGAAGTTGCTCCGCAGGTGTCCGGGGCTTGCTTCGTCGGTGGTTATGGTTATATGCGGGGTGGTGGGGTGTGGTAACGAACGTCGTGGTCGCCTTAAATTTAGCTTATCCTAAAAAGGACACCGCTCTGATAAGAACAGATACTACACTTTGATCTTAGCCAAAAATTCCCATTTAAAGCTAGGTCGACATGGGAGCCAGTGTTATTTTGAAGAAAAAAAGTCCAGCCACGTTTGAATTTGAACATATGACCTTGAACCAACCCTGACCCTGGAACCCATGATCCGCATGCGAGGGATCTTTTAGCCGCGACACTACGGTGTTTTCTGGACAAACATACATATACAGACAAAATCAAGATACGATGAAGCTATACATGATTTTTACATAAACTACGCGACATAACACAATCTTGTCATTTTTCTCGTGACGGCAAAACAAGCTATCTTGTATTTACACCATTGGCTCCTTGTCGATGTGACTCGTGATGATGATGATGTTTTGGGCTTCAGCCAGTTTGGCGTTATAAAAGTATTAGTATAAACTTGTTTAATATCCCTAAATAATAATAACTTCAAAGAAAAATAGTTTCTAACTAACTTGACATAAACTGTAATACATAGTTAATACAAAAATGGGGGTATTTTGTTTGTATTTATCGTGCCACCTGTATAAATATAATAATTAAACAACCATGAATAAAACACCTGGCAACAGAACCGGACACCTGTTGAGAAAGTAGGTCAGCTGTTGGACACGTGAAGTGACTAGAAACTCGCAAACTTGACAATGTCTTTCGTTAACGTAGCCCCAGATAGCGACTTTCCTATCCAAAACTTGCCTTATGGCGTGTTCTCTACACCAGATAATGTGAGTAGACATATTTATCTTGTATCAGGTGATTGCGTTTTTGGCTTTGAGATCTGGTGTGTGTGCAGGCGTGACCAATCAGTGGCCGGCGTTCTTGTCACACCTCCACGTAGTCTGCAGAGTCCGGGAATTGTAATGATATGAGGCAGAAATTTTTACCTATACATTTATAATTCAATTACTGCAGGTATCTGTGTGTGCACTACATTTAAAGGCGTCCGAGAAGGCAGTTGTCATAAGGACGCAGAACTCTAGCTTCAGATGTAGTAAAATTCAAAACATTTTTCAAATTAAAGCTCTCTTCACCGAATTGAAACCCAAACTCCCCCCCCCCCCCTATTTTTTTTAAAAAGCATTCATCGGCTGTAAACTCCAGCAAAATGTTCTAGTTGTTCGACCACTTGTGGGCTGTGTTCATGTTCTAGAACTCCAGTTATGCGTGCACGTCCGTACACATACAGATGTGGCTCATTTGTGTAGTCGACTTTTGCAAAGTAGGTCCATTATCCCACCCCCCCCCCCTCCCAGCCCCCACCCCTTTTTCCCTAAGGGCCCTGTAACCCACATGGGGGAGACATTTTATTTTAACTGTATGCTTATATAGGTACACTATAACTTATAATGCGGAAGCGTGGATAGATCGCTGTGTCTGAAGAGAATAAGTCAGTGAACAGGGGATAGTGCTAAAATTCAACACTTTAAAAGAAAACAACCACCATACACACACACACACACAATGAAGAAGGGCACAGTACATTCAAACTACTACTGGCAGTGTCACCAATACTAATAATACCATCAGAACTGGAACTCTGTTGACTGATGGGACAGGTTAAGATGAGATGGATTAACTTCATTGCACCAGGTTTTATTTCATATGGCTCAGTCTCTCTCCTCAGAACACTTAGCTGCCTGCCAAGAGCGTGAGACAGAGCATGAACTCAGTAGCTCTGTTGATGATCCCCAGGGAGCTCCATAAATAGTACACTCGTTAACTGAATGGTGCCACCATGAAACTAACCGGAACCCAATGCCTTCAGAGCGTGAGGCAAATGGCTCAACCACTTCGCCACAGAGGCCCCAGAACCCATACTCTGATGGGACAGAGTGTTTATAGGAATGTCCAGAGTGTTGTGATGTGGGTTCTTGTCTTTCAATACCAGAACATTTGGTTTCAAATACTTGAGATAATACACATAGTGACAAGAGCATTCGTGCATTACTATTATCTTCAAAGAGGCAACATATACTGTACTGAATATTAGCATATCTAGCCAGATTTCTTTAACATATTTACACCAAATGTAAAATATGTAATTACTTGTTGTTTGACACACATTAATTGCAGTTCAGTTAAGCTGCAGATCACTTTGATTTTGATGTTGATTTAGAAAATTGACTTCATAAAACAGCAGCAAACTGCTGGACGTAAAATTGTTTAGTAAAACTATAACAAGTCACGATTTGGTTTGCAAAATTCTGCAAAGGATATGCAAAAAATGTTAAAATAAAAGTGAAGTATCAACAGTTGGAAAGATTTGTTGAGGGGTGGGGGGGGGGGGGGGGGGGGGGGGGGGGTTGTAAGAATATTTTAAACAGTGTGTTCTCATGACGTGAAAGATGTATTGGTTCTGTGCATATCAGGAGGAGAGTTGATACAGAACCAATACTGAACTTTATTAGTAGACAACAGATCAAATGTTTTGGCCATGTAACATTTTACACGCAGCAGTAGTGCCTTACAGAGAACAGTGTAATACACATACAGCGGTAACAGAACCAGAGGTTGACCGCACAAATAGTGGACAGCGGAAATATTGGAGATGCTGAAAAGTACTATATATGAGCCTGTTCATTTTCTCTTTTCCTTCGCTGATTGTGAGGCATTCCAGGAGTAAAGTAAAGAATAAAAAGGATGAGAGATGTCCGTCACATTAATAAATACTTTCTATTGAATATCACAGCATCGGGTGAAACTAAATTGACAATGTCAATCAGTAAGGCACTTGATGATAAGGATGATGATGAAATTAAAGTATGAAATTTGATGTTTATTTGTAGCCAAGGCCAAGAATTGGTGTTGCTATTGGTGATTTCATTCTTGACTTGACGCAAGTAAAACAGTTGTTTGATGGTCCAGTGTTGAGGGATATCCAGGATGTCTTTGATCAGGTAACTGCTTTCTGTGTGTTTTACTTTTGACATCTTATGTGTGAAATACCTCTCTGGGGTTTGGATCGCAAGTCTTCTTCTGGGTTTACTGTTAAAAGGACAGTTGGCATGTTGTGGAAATTCACAGTTCCAGCTTCATGGCAAGTGGGTCACCCCTTAGTTTACCCATTTCAGTGCCAGGGAGCACCACACAAAATGCAAGTGGGTGTCCTTTATTATTTACATGTTGATTTTAACCTTTTTTTTTTATACCTCCAAAATGCTTTTAAAGAGGTGGAAAAGTATGTGGGAATTCCCCTCCCCCCTTCCAACTCCCTCCCATTCATATTACTTAAAAATTATAGTTATTTGACCTAGATTACTAATCAGTTTTGTTTAGTGTATTTGTTTACATTACCTGCAAAAACTCGGTGTCACCAACTAAATGGAGGCGGATGATATCTGCAGCATGAACCTTAAGGGCTCAGAATGCTGAAGAAGAAGAAATATTTGTTAACATTAAAAAAAAATTTCAAATATATCAAAGGAGTTAAAACTAAATACAAACGGAATGAAACATTGAGTGGAATACATTCTATAGGGGCCTAAGCAATTTATCAGGTTCCTCGGCAGCTTAAGTTCCTGTTTACCATTAAGACCCCAGTTTATTGAACATGTGGCAACCTTGCAGGATATGCTCATCTTTTTTGTGCTTTTGTGTTTTTAATTTACAGCCAACTCTAAATGCCTTCATGGGTTTGGGCAAACCGGCTTGGACTGAAGCCAGAAGTACTTTACAGCAGATTCTTTCTGACTCAGAGCCTGTCCTTCGGGACAATGCGGAACTACGGGCAAGGTAAAATAATGCAGAAAATTATATTGCTTTGATATTCTTCTTTTTGTGTACATGCTTAATATTCAAATTATGTTGTTGGTTTTTTTGGCATATAGAATATATTTACCATGCGAACAATGGGCTGGGATAATGTAAGACTATGTTAAGACTAGTATCCCAGCAGAAGTTATTAAGGCCAATATAAACACACCAACATAATTGCTACATAGTTGTGTACGCAAGTTTTCATTATTTTAAAGCCCTACGGCTCTTGTTGGGGGCCTTAAATATAACCGAACTGTTTGACAGGGTTTCTGTGGCCTGCGCCTGGGTCATTCTCATCCTGATAGTTGCACTTTGTGTCACCGGCTGTGCAGTACTGATGGGTTTAACTTCATTCATTCCTTGCTACATAGATTATTCAGTAAGGTCTGGGAGACTGAAGAAAAACCAGTAGACTGGAGAGAAGGATATCTTGTGAAACTGACCCAAAAAAAAAAAAAAAAGGTGATTTACTGGAGTGGGAAAACTATAGAGGAATTATGTTGCTGTCAGTTCCTTGGAAAATATTAAGTAGGATTATTTTGGAAGACCAAAAGATGCCATTGAAAAAAAAAACAAAAAACTAAGAGATGAACAGGCAGGTTTTCAGCCAAACAGATCCTGTACAGACCAGATAGCCATATTATATGTAGAATAATAGAGCAAAGCATGTAATTGGATTCATAGACTATGAAAAAGCTTTTGGCAGCATTGATAGGAATTTCTATGGAAATTAATGGTCACAATGAAATCCCACATAAAATTATTAACTTAGTAATGGCAACATATAAAGACATGAATTGAGTTCTTCATGAGGGAAAGCTAGCAGATTAATTTGAAATAAAAACAGGTGTGCAGCAGTGATGTCTTTTATCGCCTCTCCTATTTTTGCTGGCAATAGACTGAATTGTGAAGACAGCAACTGCTCACACCAAGAATGGAATTCAGTGGACCCCTAAAAAACAACTTGATGATCTGGAGATCGCTGATGGTATTTCTCTTCTGTCCCACACACAGAATCAGATGCAAGATAAATTAAATATACTTGATGTGAGATCTGTTTGGGTAATAATATAGATAAAGATAGGAAAACTTATAGAGATATTAAAATATGAATACAAAAAGGCAAGAGGAGATTTCATAGCACTAGGAAATTTCTGGAGTTCAATAGAAATTAAAACTATTATTAAACTAAAAGAATGTTTATTCTGATGTCAAATCATTTCTGTTGTGTGGAGTGGAAACATGGAGAACAACTAAGGCAATTAATAATAAACTACAAAAATTCATTAACTGGTGCCTGCGCAGATAGAAGGAATTGGTACATTAGAATCACTATTATAGAGCTTTGGGAGAAAACTAAACAAGTTCCAGTGGACCAAGAGGTGAAGAAAAGACGCTGGTGTTGGATAAGACACACATTAAGAAAACTTGAGTACAAAATAACTAGTATGTCTTTGCACTGGAACCCACAGGGACCATAGAAATAAAGGAAGACCAAAAAACACACAGAGAAGGGAGCTAGAGAGCGAGGTTAAAAAGATGGGGAGAACTGCATGTGATAGCGAAGGATAGAATGAGTTGGTTGAGGGCCTATGCTCCATTGGGGGTTAGAAAGGCAGAAGAAGAAGACACAAATAGCTAGGACAGGGAACTGCATCTAACTCCACTCTTTGGGGCTTTACATAATAAGAAAAAGGTATTCATTAAAAAAAAGAACCATTCAAAAAATTATAGTGGCCGAGAGAACTATTATTATCCATAACACTGAGAATTTCTGAGGTAGAAAGATGTGATAAAGGCATGCTTATGTGATCTGTTGTTAATGGTGGATGACAATTTCTGACACCTGGATTATTGTTTATATATTCTTTGTATCCTCAGGGCCCTTGTTCCCCAGAGCCAGGCAACAATGCTTCTACCAGCAAGAATAGGTGAGCCATTTGCATCACTTAAAAAAAAAAATTACATTGATTAATGCATCCAGTTTTATCCTACAAGGGCGCTTTAAATGAAAAGCTTATAAGTATGATAGAAATGACAGTAACCACACCAGTCTTGTAACTTGAGGGGGCCGTGCAACATATGTGGCTATGTGATCATCTGAAACCAAGTAACAGTGATCTGTCATACAGATTATAAGAACAGTACCTTGTATCCAATACAGTTAGAAACAAAAGATCAAATTATTTGGTCATCTTGTTAAAATTCACCAGTACCGGTTAATAACACTGGCGCTAGATCCAAGGAGATCCAAAATGAGGAAAGAGGGCACCCATGGGGATGATTGATTGGTGGAGACTTTTTTTGTTTTTGTTTTAAATATCCAGAAACCATGAGTTGTCAACCCGGTATTATGGATATTGCAACCCTTCTGCCTTACTTCGATGATAGATACCGTAAATCTGGGAGAAATGTGGCTTTTCAGCCCACCCCCAGGCATGAACCCATACCACAAAGAGTTGGTCACCCGGTCACCGTACAGTCGGGGTTAACCAGCTGAGCTAGCGAGCCAAGCATGTAGAGGATCAGTAGCTGTTGCTCGTTCAGTTGTTGTTGTTGTTGTTGTTTGCACCTTTCCGCCTTTCTAGACATTAATGTTATTTTGTCCCCATGTAGGTTCTGGGGCCCAAATTTTTTTTTGTTTGGGGGGGGGGGGGGGTGCAATAAAGCCACTGTCCACTTACAAGCATGTCATAAAAGTCAACTAATTAAGGTTTTTCCTTTGAAGTCAAAGTGCATTTGCGTGAAAGATGAGGAGTCAACAGTCTGCCTACACACACAAAAAGGCAAATCAGTCAAACTCAGGTTATGGAACAAGACTAAACTCCAGAAGTGGATGAACATCTCTTACTATCTGCTGGAGTTTACAGCTGGTTAAAAGCTAAGATGATGTTATATTGAGCAATGGGGAGGAATGGAAATCATGGCCCGTGGTGAAGGCTAATGGGATTAGTGAGACAAGCTTTTGTTAACAACAGTCTTCTACAATTAGAGTATGGTATTTTAGGAGCATAAACGTCCCAAACAATGCTCTAAGTGTGACTGGATTTACTCATATTCACCAGTTATTGTGCTTGCACATTTTGTGTTTTAGTCGGGGCATGGTAAACCACCCAACAACACATTTATCTCCCAAAAGGGATGTGTAGTTGGACCTTGTGGATGTAGTATACCCATTATTTTGTTGATTTCACAATGTATCATCAACTATGACCTTCTGGAATGGGAAGAGTTAAGTGCTAGACGTTCTATTAGGATTAGATAATATTAAAAACAATTTAATACAGATATGTAGCTTAAATTTATCCACGGGACTACACAAATGTCTTTTCCCCCAAGAACCATGCTTTAAATGTTGGCTGCATGTTTCATGATCCAGCGAATGCCTTGATTCCAAAGAGGCAACTGGGAATGCCAGATTTTTTTTAGTATTATGCAACCAAATACAGACCTTAAAAAGATTTTTAAAAAAACAGTAGCAGAACGTATTGTGTAATGTTTGAGATTCACGAAAACATTTTTATCAAACATGATTAGCTGCTAGGGACCGAAAGAGTTATCAGATAATAATAATGTGTGTATACAAATATGTCACTTAAATATCTCCAGGTGACTACACAGATTTCTATTCCTCCAAGAACCATGCTTTCAATGTTGGATGCATGTTTCGTGATCCAGCCAATGCCCTAAATCCAAACTGGTGAGATATTATTCAGCTAACAATTATGATACAGAGGTGCTGGACCACATGCATTGGTGTACTAGTACCAGGGCTCAGACTGATCAGGACCTGTCGGCACCTCTCCGCAGTCATCCTAGAAAGAGGTTCCAGACCAGAGGCCTGGCCAACATAGATAGGATCGTTTCTTTCACAGCTAGACGGCGTCTCCTGAGAGGCAAGGAACCAACAGTCTGCACACAAATAAGCCAGCTCTGTAAAATGGATATGCGTGCAAAGCTCCAAAGTCCAGGAACAAGATCAGACTCCAGAAGTGAATGAACGCAGGACTTTCTACTGGAGTTTACAGCCGGCAAACTCTAAGAATAAGAAGATTTCTTTATAGTAGCTTTTATAAATCTGCCTACAGTACATACTTTGAGATCTCATCTGTTCAAGAAGCTAAATTTAAAAGTTGCTTATGAATATAACGAAATGACAGCTAAACAGATGCTGAAAGAGTTAATAACATTTGAAGAATAGAGTGTAAACATATGCTGAAAGAGTTAATACCATTTGAATAACAGAGTGTTTTACCACAGAAGTTTCAGTCTAATTAGCCTGTTGTTCTGTTTTTATAACATCTAGAAACCCCATACATATTGCTTTTGTATGCCTCGAGACCACGCAGCCTCCTTGAATCTTCTAAATGAGAGTTAACAGTTAGCACCATTCAGCAAGCCACTCTGATTCTCGCTAAGGAAGTCTCCATGGTGAAGTTGTCAAGCTATTTGCCTCCAGCCCAGAAGGTTATGGGTTCATTTCATGGCTGCATCATTCAGTTCTCGAGTGCAATTTTAACAGGACCTCTGGGGATCGTCACCAGAGCTATGAAGTTAATGCTTTGTGTGTCGCTCTCAGCAGGTAGCTAGCCATTTAGCAAAGAGAGACCGAGCCATATGGGATAAAAGCCTGTGCAGTGAACTACGTCCTTTCACCTGTCACTTTTCTCATAATAAATAAAATAAACTTATTAGCTTTCTACCAGTATATAACATACCTTCTGCCTACTTATAACATACTTTCTACCTGTTTATAACATAACTTTGGCCTGTTTATAACATACCTTCCGCCTGCTTATAACATACCATCTGCCTGTTTATGACATACTTTTTGTCTGATAAAAAATATCTATTGTGAGGGCTTTTTGAGAGATAGTGAACAGTGCAGATACACAAATAGATCATTACTGTCTGAAGAGAATGGCGCTGCGATGAGTTACCAGGGGATCTGGCCAACGCTCAAGACCCAAGGGACAGATGAGAGGGATATGCAATCAGACTGTAACTGTTGCCATCAGAATTGGAATTTGCTTTGCTGCTGAAAATGGGGACGGGGCGCTTATGGGAGTGTCCTGAGTGCTGTGATGTCAATTCTTAATTCAACATTATAACATACCTTCTGCCTGTTTATAACATATCTTCTGCCTGTTTATAACATACCTTCTGCCTGTTTATAACATATCTTCTGTCTGTTTATAACATACCTATCATTATTATAAATGCAGGACCTATCTCCCAGTTGGGTATCATGGCAGAGCTTCATCAGTTGTTGTGTCAGGAACTCCAATTCGTCGACCTACAGGGCAGACCCGGCCTGATGACAGTGAGTTTTCTGTTTTTCTCGTTTAACAGTTTTAAAAAAAAAGGAAGTTAGTTGAAAGAAACTCGTGAAGAGGACTTATTGGTCACATCAGAAAGAGAGATTCTACATTCTGTGGTCATTTCACGAGAAGGAGAAAACTGGAGTATATTGTGACAGAAGGAAAGTTGTAGGGGAAGAGAAGCAGAGGAAGACTGAAAGAAGAGAAGATCTGGACAGTTTGTCATCATGGCATGGAAGATCATCTGTGTCAGTTGAAAGTATGCGAGAAGGTTGTGGATATGCATGACTACCAACACGACATGGCATGGACTTTTAAATATAAGAAGTAACAAAGTTGAAGAGTGAGAAACAACACCAGCATTCAATATTTGTTTCAATCACTACTAATTACTGGCATAATGAGAGCTAATAGACTGAGATGGTTGGGGCATATAGGGAGGATGGCTGCTACCAGAGGGACAAAACCTGCATGCACAAAAGAGTTGAATGGTCTTTTATCACAAGACAGATAAAGAAAATAGAGATGATATAGAGCTACAAACACTTGCAGTTACTAACTGGAACGAGACATCTAATCAAGGAAATAAAGGGAGTGATATCCGCAGCAATGAACCAACCATACAGACTCAGAAAGAAGAAGAAGAGGGGAAAAAAAGTCAGGCTCTCTTCTTTGTCATAATGTGTATTAGGAGTATGTATTATTATTATTCTTCTGCTTTGTGTTTTTTTCATGGGCTGTAAACTGCATTAGAAGTCTATGGTTGTTTGTCCACCTCCAGACGTTAGTATTGTTGTAGGACCTGAGTTTTGCATGCACAGCCGTTTCACACATCTGGCTTATTTGTATGCAGACTCATTTTCCTTGCCTCTCGGGCAGCTGCACTCCGACTTTGGAGGAAACACCCATAATAAATCGCCTCCCACGGCATGCTTGTTAGGAGGGCAATGTATCTGTTCTTTGTTTTCCCTTATGGTGCCCCCCCCAACCCGCACAGGTATAGTTACTGCAGTATGTACCTGATACAATACAGCCAAAATATATCCGGCAATAAGTTGGGGAATCTATTGTTTGTATCTTCATTGTTAATGTTTACATAATTATTCTAACTAGGTTAGGTGCTTATTGATTTTAATAAAACTTGAGATTGTTAATCTCAGAAAGCTGTACCTGTGTGGGTTCTAGGGCTCCATTTTCGGGATGGATCAAGAGCAGACCCAATTGCCCTAACATGAAGTGTCGCAAAATGTAACCAATTAGGGGTTTGCTAACATCGGCCGTGTTGGGCAAAATAGTGCAGACATCCCAGCCTAGATGTAAATGAAACCACTACCACTGCATTTCAGTTTCCATGACCACCAAGGTGTCCATGACATGGAGGTGACAGCCATTCCAGCGACAGAGTTTGCAAGTCTCTTGAAATCACTTTTATGCACCTTGGGAACTCTGGCGCCCAGTAGAATTAACTGCCAATACAGCTTCACCTAAACCCTAGGGGGCTGAACTGCCTACACAGTTTCATCTTATCTTCGAGTGACGACCCCTGGCATATCCCCGGGTATCTATTTTGTGTCTTGACATCGACCTGGCTTCCACAAGATACGAAGATAAATGATATTGTGTATTTGTGTAGTATTGTCTATTCTATGTATGTGCTGAAGAAGTTTTCATAGCCGCAACGTTCACATTTTGTTTGTGTTTGTTGTATGGTGAAACTCGCTGATATAATTTTCGTTCAGTTTTATATCTTTCCTTGATAGGTGTAAATGAGAACACAGCCTGCCAGATGCAGAAGAAAAAGAACAAAGGTTGTGTCTGAGGAAAGAATGAAATGAGCACAGAGAGCTAATACTAAATTGATTTGCTTTTAATTCTATCTGCCAGATAAACCTCCGGTGTTTGGTCCTTGCCGATTGCTTGACTTTGAACTGGAGATGGCTTTTTTCACTGGCCCAGCCACAAGATTAGGAGAACCTGTTTCTATGGACAAGGCAGAAGATCACATCTTTGGCATGGTTCTGATGAATGACTGGAGTGGTCAGTACTGCATCCAGAGTTGTTAGTTTAGAATGAATTTCAAACATGTATATTGAGCTGTCTGTGTATGTGTGTGTATATATGCGCACACACACACACACACACCATATTTCCCCAATTATAAAGGCAATCGTGTGTACAAGACGCACATTGATTTTTTTATAAAGTTATTGAACTCGTTTTATTCATTATAGAATCCAGAAAGCTCCTTATCACTGTTAAAACTCTCATCCATGTGATAGTTCTTTAGCTTGTCCTCGTCTGTGTCTGATTTCATATCTCTGTCTTCATGTATTGCCTGCCTCATCCTCAGTTCCATTTGTGGCATTTGAAATGCCACACTTCTTGAATATCTTGATAACGATCTCAGTCTTAACATTTTCCAGGATCTTTTCCCACAGATACAAACTTCTCCTCTAGTTGGTGTGTGTGCATGCAAAATATTGAATCATTTTAGGAATGTGCAGCTGCACAGACGTGACAGATTGTAACTCATAGTAACAGCAGCAAAAAATGTTAACACTTTGATAGATTGTTATGATTATGAAACCCACACTAGTTTAGCATTCTGGCATTGCAGTATTGTAATATATTACAAGAGGAAGTCAATAAGTAAGTCACGAATGGTTATGAGATGGCAGGAGAATGTAGTTGATGGTTTGGTGTCATTAGAGGACGGCAACATTGAACTTTAACTCTCTATTCGTTAGGTGGCACTAGGTGTTGCATGCGCATTCCCAACACAGAAACAAAATGGCGATTGTGCTTACGGAGTATACTCTGAAAGAACAACATGCTGTTGTGCATTTTAATGTGTTTTTTTTTATTATTTACAAAAGGGCTGCCTTCAAAGGATGTTCATAAGGACATGCTCCCTGTTATATGCTAATAAACAGATGTTTATTCCATAAAGCGATGCATAGCTGAGAAAAAAAAAAATTCACAGGCACTTTAAAATTGTTAATGAAGTTTGATCCGGTCGTCCTGTTGAGATTGCAACAGACGCATCCATGCAGATGGCGGAGTAGATAATTAGAGGTGATAGGCGAGTAACAGTTGACTCTGTAGCAGCTGCAATAGGGTTCTCTCATGGTTCAGCATACAACATAATGCATGATCAGTTGAATTTTAAGAAAGTGTGCTCAAGAAGAGGATCTAGACAAATGATGGATGAACACAAAATGAACCGATTAGTCCTGTCCTTGCAGCATCTCTGTTGATTGGCAAATTGAAACACACTGAACAGGATTATTACTGGGGGTGAATCATGGGTGCATCCCTACCAGCCAAATCAAAGCGTGCTTCAGTGCAGTAGAAACATCCATCTTCGCCTTATGTTAAAAAATGCAAGGTTACGCCATCAGCAGGGGAGATTATGCTGACAGTGTTCTGGTGTTGTCAAGGAGTGCTTTAAAAAAAAAAAAAAGTCAAGTTCCCTTTTCACGCCTTTCGGCGCATCGGGCATATGGGCAGAGCGTCCCATATTTTTACAGACCATAAGCACTCTGTGGGTAATGTGGTCAGCATTACGCCGGCTGTCTTTACTTTCCCAGGACAGCCCATCCCGGTACCCATTTTAGGCTGGGTCAACCTGCGACTTCCCATACCACGACAAAAATCCACGCAGCCTGCAGTAGGTTTCGATCGCGGTATGCTGGCTTACGAGTCAGACTCGCAACGCCATAGCCACGGACGCCACAGGAGTGCTTTTAACCAATTTTTAAAAAAAAGAGGTTACAATGAGAATGCTGATGCATACTGTAAAGTTATATCAATGCTTCATGATGCAGTTTGAAAGAAGGTGTAGGTTTTCTGAACTAGAGGAGTACTACTCCTTCATGACAATTGCCAGACCACATATGGCTTGGTTAGTTAACTCAGGAGAAAATTAACCTTCTAGTGTCAGAACTTCTGGAACATCCACCTTACTGCCCTGACTGAAAACCCTTGGCTGGAGACATTTCATGAAAGACTCAGAAGTTGAATATGAAGTGAAAATGTGATTTAGAAAACAGAGTTTGCAGTTAAATGCAGCAGGTTTGGGAGGACTGATAAAATGATGGGACAAGTGCAGCAGTGTTGGTGAAAATTATGTTTAAAAAAAACAGTGCTTGTGTAAAAATAAACAGTTTTCAAGCTGTTATCTTTAGGTGTTTTTTTTTCAACATCCATTTGTGACTTACTTATTGACTTCCCCTTGTTTTGATTTTAATAAGAGCAAAAGAACATGTAACATGCTGTCATTTCATACTGAAATTCAAGGAACGCAGAAGAAGAAGAAGAAGAAGATCCTGAAATGTAATAGTTACAAATGGGTTTTTAACCATTACATTTGGTTTTTATTTCCTCCAGCACGTGATATTCAAAAGTGGGAGTATGTTCCACTGGGTCCATTTCTGGCCAAAAATTTTGGAACCACGGTCTCACCGTGGGTGGTTACGATGGATGCCCTGAAACCTTTCATTGTTACCAATCTGCTTCAGGTAAGGAGGCGGTAGAACTGTGTCTTGGTTTATGTGTTAAAGCTTGGGAGCTTTGGGAGTATTCTAAGTAATTGGGAAATGGGGTTCCGCCTTCATAGCAAATGGGTCACCCCATAGTTGCTCCATTCCTGTGCCAGAATGTCCATCACTGTTCCTGTTGAAAAAAAATTGACACAGACTGCAGTCTCAGCAAAGCCAATAGCATATACTTGCGAAGTGCCTACACACACAGTCCAACACTAGAAATGCAGTTCATCATCGAAGAAAATTTGACACGATCATGGGTTAATAGTGATGGGTTACACAAGAAGGGGTGAAATAATATTTAAATGAACATCTTGTCTATGTCAATTAGGTATATAAGACAATCAAAAAATGTCACAGTGCTTTGTGTTGAATAGACATTGAGTAGCATGTTTATCGCGTACATGTGTGTGCTGATGAAGACTGCACTGAATGCTAGTGAATGGGTGATGAGAAAAGTTGTATAATCCAGACAGCTGATGCCTTTCAACATGCTTGAAAGGAAAAGGGTTTGAATCTGAACCAAGAAAGCTGTAAGTGTGTCATGTTTAGGTGAAGAGTGAGGCAGCTAGAAATGAGAACATTCCATAAGGCTTAGGGACTGCACAGTGGTGAACAGTTTGTTGATGTGCATCGAATAAATACTGTTGAAAACTAATGTTAGTTAGTTAGTTAGTTAGTTGGGTTATCCTCATTGCACTCCGGACATGTCCATAGGTGCTCAGATCCTCCCCTCAGTATGAACCCCAACGTCCGATGGCTAATAGTACCAGTTCTATGTTGATTAACAATAACAAGTCTTCTGGTGTGCATCTCGTTTTTTGCTGTGCCGATCTTAATTCCCAAGTCTGCCATTCTGGCGAGTGATGTGGATTCACTGCCACCAAAGTCCTCTGTCCTTCCCATTTCTCTGAGGGCATTGATAATATCAGCATGATCCATAGGCTGACCGTCGGTAGTGATAGCAGATCCAGCCAACCTGTCAGCTCTTTCATTTCCATCGACGCCTGCGTGTCCCGGAACAAAAAAAAAGGTGACTCCACGCACAGTGGACTTCTGTAATGATTCAAGCCATTGTCTTTGCACTGAACCTGCCTGAACCCTCCGGATCATACTCATTGAATCACTGAGTATACATACACGGGTGTATTTTTGTGTTTCAAGCCAGGCAAACGCTTGCGTCACTGCCATCACCTCCGTCGTCATGCTGCTGGTTGTCATGGAGAAGGCGCCGTTGGCTTCTTTGACTGTTCTGCCCGCTGAGCGTGCTGTAAATGCCCATGCGCTTCTTCTTTGGCGTATAACAGATCCGTCTGTATAGATTATTGCATCTGCTTCGTCTGAATTTTCACAGATGAGAGCGTTGACCTCTGCATTAACAACAACAGGATTAAAGCTAATGTTATGAATGGCTACCAGGTGTGGTGGTTCGTCAGAGTTCTGATTTTTATTAGTGCTGGCTGCAACAACTCTCTCAGGCTTTTGCCAATGGATCAGCTTTCTCGGGCATACTGACAGATTGTTCAACCTTTTGAATAAGGAACAAGGATTCATGCTTTCTCTCAACTGTCACATTTTCAGCCAACTCATACATTATACTTCCTGCTTGATCACATTCTACCAAATTTAAGCACATAATTTATGTTTAGCCTTTAACATCATTACCATATTGGAACATTAATTAACAATGAGAAAAATGACTCATTACACTGTCCCAGCTGAAGGAAACCAAGCATTTTGGAATTGTGAAACTCCTTTTATAACCCTTGCCACAGATGCAGAAAACCACAAGGACAATTACTGAATTAACTCTTTCAGTGTCATGCAGGCTTTAGTTTAACGTTTTTTTCCTGAACATTTGTTACTGAAAGTAAGACATGTCTGAGTTTGAGCGGGTTCAAATACTAATACACTAAAGGATGAAATGAGGTAACAGTATACTTTAGGATAGAATGTTCTTCTTCTTCTTCACTTCCTCTTTTATCGCTGTGGGTGTCGAGGGAGATATAAGTTTCTGTCTCTAGCTCTTCTGGCCGCCTCGACCATAGGCACATCGTGCTGTTGTAGAGTTTCTCCGATGTTATCCTTCCATCTTGTTTTTGGTCTACCTCGTAGAATGTGTTAATGAAGAATAGGAAGTTAGGGATAGCATATTTTGTAAAGAATAACCATTAAGCACAGTGTGTTGTTTGTGCTGAAAGAGTTAAAAGGAAGTTTGTACTTTTTTCCCAGGATCCTGCACCACTGCCATATCTTCAGCAAGAGGACAACTATAACTTTGATATCAAACTGGATGTATCCATCATGGGTATGTATCAAGTACATACACAACAGATATGTTTTTTAACAGAAATGTGTCTGTATTGATTTTACCTCATTTTTTTTCTTCTTCTTCATGTTCAGCAATAGTAAACTAGCAGAAAGTTTTGGTTGTATGTCCACTTCTGGACTTTGGTCTTAATCCAGAACTTTGAGTGTGTGTGTGCGCGCTCAACCGTTTTGCAGATCTGGCTTATTTGAATGCAGAGTATTTGTTCATCACGTCTCAAGCGGAAGTAGTCCAGCTTCAAAGAAAACACCCCTATATAGTAACCTTATACAATATGCTTGTTAGGTAGGGGGGTAGACCTATTCTGTTTTCCCCCAAACATGGGGTCCCGGAACATACACTAGGATTTTTTTTTCACGTTTTGTTTGTGCTGTTCAAAAAATGTTTTTGCTGAAGAGGTTTTTGTAATCTTAGGATTTCAAACTGTAACATTTGTAGATTTATTCACACTTTAAGATACAAGTGGATTTGAGTAAACTCTGATTGAAATTTCTGGTTGTTCACTTCACCTACTTGTGGACTTCAGTCCAGTTCCAGAACTTGAGTTTTGCATGTGCATCCCTTGACAGGTGTAACTTAATTGTATGCAGATTGTTGGTTCCTTGCCTCTCAGGTAGATTCATTTCAACTCCAAAGGAAGCCTCTAATTACTTGACTTTTACAACATGCCTGTAGGAGAAGCAGTGGGTCTTTTCTTGCTTTTCTCATAATAGGACCCTGCAACAAAACATAAACATTTGCTGTTTTGTTATTTAGTTCTGCTAGCATTTTATTTTTTATTTTAAAATTTTAATTCGTTAAAAGTAGCAACTTGTTATCTTTATCAATTGGTCAGTTATTAAATATTTTATGACTTCATACTTTTTTCAGCTGATGGACTTGCAAAGCCAGCCGTAATTAGCAGGTCTAATTTTAAAGTGAGTATGTTTTTTTCCTCTCTATAATTACGGATATACAATCAGACTATTAGTGGTACCATCTGAAATGGAATTCTGCTTTTGCTGCTGAAGATCGGTACAGAGCACTTATGGGAATATCCCGGGTGCTGTGATTTTGATTCCTTATTAAATATTCTGTTCTATAGCTAACTCTCAAAGGAAATAGTCATGTTTGTTGAAGAGTTTCTCTTCTCTTTGAGTTGAATATGTTTAAAGATCTAGAATTTGCTCTTCTCAAATTGGTATAGTATTTTTTTAAAGGGCTGAAAAATTCAGGTATAACTATAAAACAATTACCTTTAGTAAATGAATGTTGTGTTGTAGTCATGATGGCTTGGAAATGTCTACCTTTTCTTTGTGAAATAATAGATGTAATATCTGTGCCTTTCAATCCTACACTTCTAATTTCAGCAGTCTTGATTAGCTGCCTTTAGAACAAACTTGTTAGGAAACAGAGGGTTTATTCTGTCATTCTACCCCCTTCCCCCCCCCCCTCCCCTTTCCCCTTCATGCCCAGTAACAATCATGTCAGTCCTGATTACGTTTCCTGGTCCATTTACACACTGTCTGACCTTCCGTTCATACTTTCTCAGACTCTTTAACGTCGGAGGGGTGTCACGTTGTCTTGCCTCCTATTACATCAACGCCGATGTCGGGTATTCTATACTACACGAAGACACGGCTTTCAACAACCCCAATCATCTAGAACTGCCCCGGGAAATATGAACAGGTCCATCATGTCATTAAGGGATGTAAGAACTTGCTGAAATCAGAAGTGTTGGGCTGAAATAAACATGCAGCCTAGTTGTAAACCACAGCACAAAGTGTCAACTGCCCTTATAAGGGTGAACAATAAAGAAGAAGAAAAAAGCTGCATTTAGCATGTGACTTCTTAGATTACAAATGAAAAATTACATTGAACATCAAAGAAATGTTTCATTGAACATCAAAGAAATGTTTCATTGAACATCAAAGAAATGTTTCATTGAACATCAAAGAAATGTTTCATTGAACATCAAAGAAATGTTTCATTGAACATCAAAGAAATGTTTCATTGAACATCAAAGAAATGTTTCATTGAACATCAAAGAAATGTTTCATTGAACATCAAAGAAATGTTTCATTGAACATCAAAGAAATGTTTCATTGAACATCAAAGAAATGTTTCATTGAACATCAAAGAAATGTTTCATTGAACATCAAAGAAATGTTTCATTGAACATCAAAGAAATGTTTCATTGAACATCAAAGAAATGTTTCATTGAACATCAAAGAAATGTTTCATTGAACATCAAAGAAATGTTTCATTGAACATCAAAGAAATGTTTCATTGAACATCAAAGAAATGTTTCATTGAACATCAAAGAAATGTTTCATTGAACATCAAAGAAATGTTTCATTGAACATCAAAGAAATGTTTCATTGAACATCAAAGAAATGTTTCATTGAACATCAAAGAAATGTTTAATTGAACATCAAAGAAATGTTTCATAGAACATCAAACAAATGTTTCATTGAACATCAAACAAATGTTTCATTGAACATCAAATGTTTTGGTCATCTGGTCCAAATTGAACAAAAACAGACAGCAGCTGGAGCTTACTACATGAGCACAGCAGGCTACAAGGCAGGAGGCCGACCAAGAAAGTGATGGGTGAAATGAGTAGCCGATTCACTAGGGAAATAGGATATGATATTAACACAAGCTTCGCAAGCAGCAAAAGACAGGAAACTACATCTAAATCTTCTCTGTGATGCTTTACGGCATAAGCAGCAAGACAAAAGAAGATGACGACTTCCTGTGTCAGACTTCACTTCATATAGCATGCTGAGTACTCAAAGTTATTAGATTAGTCAGCTGCCGTGAGTTCTCAGTCTCCACCGCAGGTGCTTTATTATCATACCCCAGATGATGTCACAGGACAGTCCAACATTTTAGAGGGTGGTAAAAATGGGTTTCGTGTCTTTCTAGTGCTTTTAATGACCCCCAAAATTTCCAGAACTGGCCCTAACCCCAACCTACATACGTCCCACGAGAGAGTACAGTCTAGATCCTACAACTGCATGCAGCCTGAAATATTAGATTGTCTTGTGACCTGTAGATTTCCCCTGTTTGGGAAAATATGTTTACTAGTGGTTTCTTCAGCAGCTTGGTTGGAAATGCTTTAATGCAGTGACTCTTAACCTTTGTAATGCCACGACCCTTTAACACAGATCCCTCGTGTTGTGGCCACCCCCAAACAATTATTTTCCTTCATAACTTCAATGAATATGTGTTTTCCGATGGTCTTAGGCGACCCCTGTGAAAGGGTCTTTTGACCCCCCCAAAAAAAGGGTTGCGGCCGGCAGGTTGAGAACCGCTGCTTTAATGGAATGTTTTTGGGTGTTTCCCACAGAACATGTACTGGACAATGAAACAGCAGCTGGTCCATCACACAGTCACAGGGTGTAACATCAATCCAGGGGATCTCATGGGTTCAGGAACAATCTCTGGAGAGGTTAGTGACATACTGTGTTTCTGAGTCTTACCTTCAATCAATCAGTCAAATGTCATCTCCACAGTGAAGGTAGGTTTGTCTCAGGGTTTTAGTGACATACAGTGTTTCTGAGTCTTACCTTTAATCAGTCAGATGTCATCTCCACAGTGAAGGAAGGTTTGTCTCAGGGTTTTAGTGACATACAGTGTTTCTGAGTCTTACCTTCAATCAGTCAGATGTCATCTCCACAGTGAAGTTAGGTTTGTCTCAGGAGAGGTTAGTGACATACAGTGTTTCTGAGTCTTACCTTCAATCAGTCAGATGTTGTCTCCACAATGAACGTAGGTTTGTCTCAGGATAGGTTAGTGACATACAGTGTTTCTGAGTCTCACCTTCAATCGATCAGTCAGTCAGGTGCTGTTTTGCACAATGAAGGTTGGCCGCAGGTCTCTTGTCTTGGTAGCAAACTCTGAAACTGCTGTTTTTCCATCTGTTGATGTTGTCTTTTCACTTTTATAATTGCCTGTTGTTCTCTTGCCTTCAGCGGAAGGCAAGAAAACTCCAGTATAGATTTTAAAAGAATGTTGTCTTTTAATGTGTTCAAAATATTGCATTTTTTAAATTTTTTTAATTTCTTGCAGCAGCTCTTATTTCATTCATAATCTCTTAAGTATTTTTTTTTTCCTCCCATGAAATACCCCCCTATTCTTCAGGTTTTAACTCATAAGCAGATTATTGTTATTTTGTTTTTGTCAGTCCAGCATTGCTCAGTCATGTAACTCACATAGCATCAGATGATTTTTGTTGGGCCATCTGAAAAGTGCCTAGGTGGTCACTATGACGAAGTGATCACACCATTTGCCTCATGCTTTCTTCATTTCACCACTGCATTGTTTGGGTCATGATTGCCATTTTTGCGGAGACCCCTGGAGATTGTCGCCGGAGCTACAGTGTTCATGCTTTGTTCATCACTCTTGGCAGGTGGCTAGCCTTTCTGTAGAGACAGAGCTATATGGGATAAAACTTAGTGGGGGTGAAGTCAATCCTCTTTACTTTAGTAACTTTAATAAAAGAGTGACCTGGTACCAGCTTCCGCAGAAGCCACACAGAAGAAATATAATAAACACAGAACAAGAGGAAGACCTAGTAAACAATGGAGCAGTGGCTTTAAGAAATAACCGTACAGAAATGAGGACCCAATTTATAAAACACAGATGATTCTTACATCTCCTTTCAGCACTTTGATAGCACTAAAATAGACGAAAGGCATCAATAACAGTCTTACTAAGATTATGATCAGTTTAAACAGTGCATTAGAAAAACCACACAGGATCCATACAGGTCTACCTCAGCACTGTGATGAGGTAAATAAAGGAACAGAGGCAGAGGAAACATTGCTTGGGCTCTCACTATTTTATTCAGTGTCATGAGATGATACATAAAGTAAAGGACCCTTTCCATGCCTTAGGCGCACTGGGCATGTAGGGCTAGACCTATATTTTATAGACCACTCAGTACTTGGTGGGTGATGTGGCAAGCATCACGCCAGCTGCCTTTACTTCCCATGACGTATATCTGGTACCCACTCAAGGCTGGGCCGACCAGGAAGCCAAAGTAATTTTTAAAAAGCAAAAAGTCAGGTTCCAACAGGACCCAAACCCACCCAAAGTGATACATATACTGTCTAAAAAAGAAACGCGTAGCAACTGAAAGGAACATACATACTCACAATTATGACATTCTGCATCTTTGTAACCGCAATAGGTGAAATTACTAAAATTTTACAAAAGAATACCTTAGGGTTCTACCAATCCGTTGACATATTGCTTCTTTTTTTTTTTTTTTTTTCATCTCAGGTCATGATAATTTTTTGGTGTAGGCCTTTTCTGGTTAGTGTGATGTGTGGCCCCTCTTGTGTGGATCAGTGACTGGCATCTCCTGGGCATGGATGCCATCAGATGTCTTATTTGCATCTGTGGGATGGCTGCCCACCCTTCCTTGAGTGCCTGGAACAAATCATGACCATTGGCTGGAGCAGCGTCTCGGCAACACACACGTCTTTGCAGCTCATCCTACAGGTGCTTGGCCGGACTCTGCAGAAAGGCATGGCCAGGGAAGGATTCGAATGTTATTGCCAGAATTGGGTCTGGCATTGTCCTGTTGAAAAAAAGATATCTGTTGGCATACTAAAATGAAAGGACATGTGGTCGAAGAATTTCATTGATGTATTGTTGCACATTCTAGCTTCAGTGTTCACCAGTTGACTCCTTCCTTTGTAACTAATCATTCCCCACACCATTCCTCACCACCGTGCAGCAGAGCTTCATCAAAACAAATTTTGGACTAAACCTTCATTTCGTCTAAGATAGACCCTACATTATCTATCATGATGCTGCAGCAAAAAGAAAAATTTGTCACTGAACCAGACACGTCTCCATTTATTCTCACCTGCCCAGGGATAATGATGGTTAGCCCAAAAAAAGTCAATTTTGGAGGTGGTGTTGTGTGAGGACAGGTCCTCGGTGTGGTTGTCGTGAGCAAAGTCCAACATCGTGGAGTCTGTTCCAAACAGTTTGATTAGACACATGACATCCTGGAGGCAATGCCTGCACATTTGAGGAAGCTGTTGTAAACCTGACTCTGAGGTGACAAAGCTGAATCAAGGGGTTCTCCACTGCTGTTGTCACTCTGGGTCGTCCATTGTGATGTCGGTCTTTAGCTGAACCAGTGGCTTCGGATCAATGCCAAAGTCAACTGGTTGTACTTTGAAGCCTGGCAACCTGACTTTGACTTTCTTAGCAGTATACATATTTTAATCAGCTTTTGCTTCATTTAAGTCTGGATTTGATCAGCATGACGTTTCAGTAATCACAGGAGGATGTTGAGGCGAGTCGAAGGGATCTGAATGCCTGTGGAGGTGTCCAGAGTTTGCGTGAGGAAAACTCGACTGATAATTCATTTCAAAATGTCTGCACAAGGCGAATACTTAGAGAGGTGTTGATGAACAACCATGTCAGGATATTTGCAAAATGGATATTTTCATATTTGGGCTGCTTTTAAATAGGGCAGATGTGTAAATTGTTTCTTTAAAATAATGAACAATTTTTAACTGCACATTTTTTTGTTTTTGTTTACAATGTCACAGAGTCAGGATTCCCTGGGATCTCTGTTGGAGTTGTGTTGGAAGGGAACTAGGACTGTTGATCTAGGCAACGGAGTCACTCGCAAGTTTCTGCAGGATGGTGATGAAGTCATTTTCAGTGGTACTACATTTTTTATCTCTATATTATTAACTTCTCCATCTGTATTCGCCCATCATAGAACTGCTTGGTATAAATCCATGCGATTGCAGGTTGGGGGAAGAATTCTCGCATGCTATATAGAGCCAGTTTTAACATACGGCTGTGAAGACTGGACAATTTAAATAAACATGCCGAACAATATCTTGAGGCCACGGAGATGAGGTTTTACAGAAGAATCATTATTCCTTGACATCTAAGATAAGCAATCCAGATGTTTCGAAAGAGGCGAATTCTCGAAGACAACTTATCATGAACATCAGCAAGAGACAGTCATAATTTTTTTGTGGTCATGTTATGAGAAGAGGGAAAACGGAACATGTTGTGATAACTGGAAAGAGACAGAGGAAGACAGCATGAGAAAATTCTTGACAATCTTTTGTCATTCCATGGAGGGATGTCAAAACACGAACAAATACACGCAGTTGCAAATTATGGAGCGGCATGATCGCCCACTTCAGTTGGCAAGGCACTTGATGATGGCAGCACCTTGTGTTTTACAGCCTCGATAGGATATCTGCACCTTTCAGCCTAGCACATAATTCTTTAGCAAACCCATAATTTGTCGCCTTCTTCAACACAGTTTGCTTGACAAGAGGCAGTTGGTCTATTTGGTCTCACATTGAAATGAGGTCCTAAAAGACACACAGAGATTCTCAGTACTATAGACTCATATTCACTATTTAAAATAATTGTGTATGATTTTGTTTCATTTTCATTCGTAGGGACAGTGATTTTACATCACAATAAGTTACCCACACCAGACTCCCCCCAAAATTCTAAAAAACGTAAAATTTATTTGTGTCATCATCATCATGTAGCAGGTCCTTTGCAGAACGTCGCTCTAATGACAGTCTGCCTGAAAGAAACTCAGTCTCTCGCCAGTTCTCTCGCCTCATGTACTTTCATATTCAAGGAGTCATTTATATCCTGAGCCTATCTTCGTGTCGGTCGGTTCCTGTCCCTTCTTCCTGGTACCATGCCTTCTGCTATAATTTTTTGCAAACCGTCGTGGAGCTTGATATTACCAAAATATTTCAGCTTCCGAGACAGGATGCTGTTTATTAGCCAATCTTCCTTGATGTTCAGATCTTTCAAGATGTCAATATTTCTCTTCTTCTTTGTCCAAGATATTCTGAGAATCTTTCTATAGCATTTCAGCTCAAAAGCCCCTATTCTCTTTCTTAAGCACTGAGAGATAGTCCACGATTCACATCCGTATGTAGCCACAGGGAAGATGCATGCTCTCAAAATTCTAATTTTGATCTCCTTGTTGGTGCTTAACCATAGACTTTTAAGGCTGTTTAATCTTTGCGTTGCTATGGCCATCCTCCTTTTAATTTCTGTTGAACAGTCTCCATTGTTGTTTATTATAGAGCCTAGATATTCAAAGTTTGTGACATTTTCAATTTCTTCATCATTTATTATTTTTTTTTTTTTTGGGTGACAGCCAGTTTTATCTGTGGACATTTTTTTCGTTTTCTTTAAATTCAAGAACAGATTTTGATCTTCACTGTGCTTTTGGACAGACAATATTAAATTATCTATTCCCTTTACGATTTATCTGTGTATTTTCTATAAATGTAATGTTAATATTTTCTCTCAATGTAATGTGTTTTATTGATAAATATACTGTTAATATTTTCTATAAATGTAATATTTGTATTTTCTTTCATTTTATTGTTTTTAAATCTAAAAATGTACTGATTATATTTTCTATCAGTGTGTTTTTAAATCTATAAGTCTAATGTTTAAATTATTTATAAACGTCATACTTGTCTGTTTATATTGTCTGTTATTATGTGATGGTTATGTATATGTAAGTAACTGTGAGTTTATATTATATTTAAACATGTTTACATTATCTGGTTGCAGGCTACTGTGAAGGTAATGGTTACAGAGTGGGGTTTGGCACCTGCGCAGGGAAGATACTGCCAGCTCATGCTGCTCTGGTTGGTTAGGTTTGTGTGTTGACTGGAAACCGTGGTGCCTCCTGCATAGTTGTTGTGTATGGAAGTACTGCTATCACTTGCTGCTCTGGTTGGTTAGGTTTGTGTGTTGACTGGAAACCGTGGTGCCTCCTGCATAGTTGTTGTGTGTGAAAGTACTGCTATCACTTGCTGCTCTGGCTGGTTAGGTTTGTGTGTTGACTGGAAACCGTGGTGCCTCCTGCATAGTTGTGTGTGAAAGTACTGCTATCACTTGCTGCTCTGGCTGGTTAGGTTTGTGTGTTGACTGGAAACCGTGGTGCCTCCTGCATAGTTGTTGTGTGTGAAAGTACTGCTATCACTTGCTGCTCTGGCTGGTTAGGTTTGTGTGTTGACTGGAAACCGTGGTGCCTCCTGCATAGTTGTGTGTGTGAAAGTACTGCTATCACTTGCTGCTCTGGTTGGTTAGGTTTGTGTGTTGACTGGAAACCGTGGTGCCTCCTGCATAGTTGTGTGTGTGAAAGTACTGCTATCACTTGCTGCTCTGGCTGGTTAGGTTTGTGTGTTGACTGGAAACCGTGGTGCCTCCTGCATAGTTGTGTGTGTGAAAGTACTGCTATCACTTGCTGCTCTGGCTGGTTAGGTTTGTGTGTTGACTGGAAACCGTGGTGCCTCCTGCATAGTTGTGTGTGTGAAAGTACTGCTATCACTTGCTGCTCTGGTTGGTTAGGTTTGTTTGTTGACTGGAAACCGTGGTGCCTCCTGCATAGTTGTGTGTGAAAGTACTGCTATCACTTGCTGCTCTGGCTGGTTAGGTTTGTGTGTTGACTGGAAACCGTGGTGCCTCCTGCATAGTTGTTGTGTGTAAAAGTACTGCTATCACTTGCTGCTCTGGTTGGTTAGGCATACTTGTTGAGTGTAGGTGCACAAAGACATTGTGACTGATATGTGTTGATATGAAGTTAGTTTAATGTGGTGTTTATGATCTCAGAAAGGGAGGTTTGAAGGGATGTGCTAAGATGCTCACAAGATGTGGGGTGTGTTTTGTGTGCATAATGACAAATGTGAAATTGCCTACTTTAGCCCCACAACCAAGAATTACTGAGGCTGGTGTGTGAAGTCCTGAAAAGAATATGGAACTAACTTTATTAAAACTTTGTCATGAGTGCGGCATACTAGCTATTTGATTTGTAATGAAAATCAGACAGGTCACTTAAATCCAACTTTGCGACAGACAAGTCACTCAATAATTGCTCCATCCGTGCGCCTGTAAAAATTACACAAATGACCTCTTCATTGTCCCTCTTGGTGAAGCAGATCAGCTCTTGCAAAATCTGAAAGATCACACTTGTGGTTAATGCATAAGGCAGCCATTAGAAGTGCCAACACTAACAGTCCACTGCTAGAACTGTAGTTCATCATTGATAGTCAGTCGGTTATGACATACCAGTTGCACATGCAATACTGCATAAGACACATAATACCAGTCCAGGCATAAGCCAGCCATCTACCATTTTAGTGCAGTTTGCAACACAAACTACTGTTGTCACTGACAAGAAAAACATTCTGTATAAAATCTACAGCTCACAATGTTGCACCAAGCATTCAGATCAGTAGCTCAGAGTCATATATGTTTTAGATGCATGTAGATGAATGTGTCTGAGCTTACTTATACTGAGTTTTCTAGTTACACTGTTTGTTGTTTAAGTTACTTCTTCATGTTACCTCCACTGCAGTCACCCTGTTTACAAGAGAACTTGAAGACTGATACTAGGACTAGCTTGCTTATACTTCCATGAACTGCATTTCTTGTGTCGGTGTTTGTGTTGGCACTTCTGGCGGCTGCCTTATGCATTAATGTGTGTATGTGTGTGTGCTTTTGGATTTACTAAGACTGGTCATCCTGTTTACAATAAAACTTAGACTGGCTGATACTAGGCCAAGGTTGTTTATACTTCCATGAACTGCATTTCTTGTGTCGGTGTTTGTGTTGGCACTTCTGACATCTGCCTAATGCATTAATGTGTGTGTGTGTGCTTTTGGATTTAATAAGACTGGTCATCCTGTTTACAATAAAACTTGAAGACTGGCTGATGCTAGGCCAAGGTTGTTTATACTTCCATGAACTGCATTTCTTGTGTCGGTGTTTGTGTTGGCACTTCTGACGTATGCATTAAGTGTGTGTGTGTATGCTGAGATTTGCTAAGGCTGTGGTCTATGTCACTTTTTCCCCCAAGGCACAGTGATGGACATTCTGTGTGGTTTTTGTTGTCACAAGAACTACTGGGTGACTTGTTTCCTGTGAAGTTGAAACTTATTTCCACAACTTTTTTTTTTTTTTTTTCAAATTTTTTTTTTTGCGTTCACTGGCTTTAAACTCTGGCGGAAAGTTCTGGTTGTTGAACCACCTCTGGGCTTTAGACTTGTTCCAGTGCCTCAGTGTTGCGTGTACATCTGTTCTACAGATCCTACTTATTTTTATGCAGACTGTTAGTTCCTTGCCTCTCAGGCAGATGCAGTCCGACTTCTTGTTTTTCCCACAATGGGGCCATGAAACCCACACAGGGATTTTTTTTTTTTAATTTCATTAGCAGGCTCTTACCCATGAGTAATAAATGATTTATATGTGTACCTTTAGAGATACTGTGATGTTTACATTCCATATTCTGTGTTGTTGGTTGTTACATATGTTTTGATGCTGTTTAAGATCTGCTGCTTTCCTTTTTTTGGATTATACAATTACCAGTAAAATAACCCAATTACTTGCAGTCTTTGTTTCAAGTTTGTACTTAATAGTGATTAGTGATTAGAAAGGATTATCATCACAGCACTCCGGTTTGTGCTTATTGTAAATACGTATGCCAGTATAAGACTTGCTTTAGAAATGCCGAAACTAAACAACATGAAGAACCTGTGGCATGTTAGCTGCAGATGAGTTGAAGTGCCCTATTTAGAGATCATGTATCTTTCCTGTAGCAACTTATTAATGTTAGTCATGAACTGTTAATCATTTTTAAACAACAAAATAAGAGCTCTTCAATTGTTATGCTACAGAAAAGATTCTCAGAATAACATGGACCAAAAAAAAAAAGAAAAAAAATTGATATCTTACACAATGTGAACATGAAGGAAACATGGCTCATAAACAGCATCCTGTCCAAAAGTTAGGTAATTTGTCATGTTAAACATAGTTTATAACACATGACAGAGGTTACCGTTTCCCCCCAAATTAGGCAGAGGCCTGCCTCACAAAGGTGGATAAGAGATACAGTAATGAATCAATGTAATGAATCACTGTGATGATTGTACTTGTGTCTAGAGGTTAGGTCACAGCTTAATCTAACAAGACTGCACTGCTCTCATCGGTCACACTACTTCTAACGATGGGTGACACCAGCTGATACATTTCATTAGTTTATTATCACGGTAGCACAATACACGAATCAACAACGATGTCCACTTACACCATTCGGGGCAATCTCGACTTGCTCACACATTAATGCTCCAGGCATACTTCAGACGATCCACGTGCTCTTCATTCTTTATTCATCTTCACCGATTCAGTCTTACATCCTTCCTCTCTGGGGCCTACAGAATCCCCGCCTGATTCTCAATCCCCCAGATCTCACCATTCACACGTGACTCACTCTTTCCTGTTGTTTCACCATATCTCCGTGAAACCCATGCTCTCAGGGACCTCCCCTATTATATCAGTCATCCCCTGACGCTATCCCTATTTATAGCATCATTACAGATACTGAAGATGCAGTAGCTATGAAAGCACACAGGGCTTGAGAATTGGCTAGAGACATTAAGACTTTATCAGGCGTGCGTTGACAGGAGTAGAAATAGGCAAGGGTCAGTCCCCAAGGACTATTAAAGTGTGTTCCTCAATTTGGAAACACCATCTTCTATGACTGTAAAGTCCAGTGTGGAAGTGGCGGTCTCTGCCACAGTCCACACAGAATTATTGATACTCTATTATACTGAGACTAGCTTTCTTTCAGACGTCTCCTGTCTTTAGCTTGCAAACTGGGACAGTCCAACTGTCACTATCCGCTTCCACGGGAGTCGGTCTACAGATGATCTCTTCCAAGTGTCTGTGTCAGTGTTATCTTTCAGATTATGTTTGTGTATGTCCTTATAGCGTAGCTATGTTCACCATACAGGAGATCCTCTAGAATGTGATGGTTTTCCGTACGGGAGACATCTCGCAACCAGTGCAGGCATCTTTGCTTCAGCAAAAAGTAGACTGTTGGCATTCCTGCTCTTATGAGCACACACTGGTTAGATCTCACCATGATAAACCAAGAATTTGTTTCTCACAATGTATCTGGAAAATATTTGGTCTTCTTTCCTGAGCAGCATATAGAGTCCAGAATGCCCTGCCTTAGTGGGAGCTGCGTGGTCTCGAGGCATAGTGTCCGCCTCAAGTGCTGGAGGTGACAGGTTAAATCCCCAGTAAGGGCTGGGAATTTTTCACGTGAACTTGGACTTCTAGTAATTCCCCCAGATCTCTGGGTAGTGAGATCGGACGCTTGTGTGCATTGTTGCATATGTACAAAATCCCTTGGCAGTTGGAAAATCGAAAAGAGTAGCCTAACGGTGCTGCCCGGGCAAAATGTTGAGTTAAAAATCTACCCAAAGTATTTCAGGATCCTCGCCAGTGCTAAAGAACCTGTGCACTGTGCTGCGCTTCTTCGGACTCAGACTTGAGTTAGAAGAAGAATGAAGCACTTATGGGTTACTACCTGTGAGCCATGATGTTGGTTCGTTGTTCAAACTTCAAACATGCACTGCCATAAAGGTGCGTGTTCAGGTCACAAGCTTCAAAAATTTTAATTTTTTATCTTGTCCATTAGGACATTAGAAACTCAGTCTCTTGTCAACTCTCCCTCTTGTGCACATTTTCATATCGAAGAAGTTGCTAATGTCCTGTTATTTCTACTATTATTATTTTTTTTTTTTTTTTACCCACCATGGTGCTTGATTTTGCCAAAATATTTCAGCTTCTGAGACAATATGCTGTTTGT